GGTACCCGTTTCCTCTGCCGGCTCTCGAGGAGAATCCCTCCCTGGCCCTCCAGCGGTCCTCGGTGTCCTTGGCTCGTAGACGCATCACTCCAGTCTCTGCCTCTGTGGTCGCGCCGCCGTCTTCACCCCATCTTCCCTCTGTGCATGTCTGCCCCTCTGTCCACCTTTCCCCATTTTGCAAGGACACCAGTCGTGTTGGATCAGGACCCACCCGGATGACCTCACCTGGGCTCCATCTGCAAAGACTCCTGTCTCCAAGTGCAGTCACCTTCACAGTTGCCTGGGGGTAGGGCTTCAGCATGTCATTTCTCTGGGGGATACAACTCAACCCAAAGCAGCTCTGCGTGTTGGCTGAAGAAGCTGCGAAGGCTGGGAGTTGCAAGCCAAGGACAGGACCCGGAGCAGGCTTTGGAGGGTGAGAGGCAGCCTCTGGCGGGTGCTGGCGACACGCTTGCTGCGGGCCACTTGCTGCCCCACCAGAGGCTGGATGCTGCAATCACAGGCCTTGTTTCTTAAGCAGGATGAGATACACATGACAAGTATGAACCACTTATAAAAATCAGACAGGATTAAGAGTTTTCAGAGACTCAGTCATTGGTTTATGTGTAGTGGTTCCCCACATAAAAAGCTCTTGCTTTTTATTATGAACATTGCGAACACGAGCTAGAGCAGAGTGAAGGTCACCCCCTCATATGGTCACTGGCCTGCTGCCCTAACTTTGCTGTGTCTGGCTTTGTAGGCAAGTTGTCACGTGAATGCCAGCTTTCTTGTCATTTGTAATGTTGGGCCCATTACACAGTCCACTGTGCTTTGAGGGCAGGAGGAGAAGGGGGCGACAGAGGATGAGGTGGGTGGATGGCATCATCGACTCGGTGGACATGAGTTTGAGCAAGCTTTGGGAGACAGTGAAGGAGAGGGGAGCCTGGTGTGCTGCAGTCCATGGGGTTGCAAAGACTCGGACACGACTGAGCGACTGAGCAGCAGCCCCGTGGTCCCCATGAGCCTAGGTTTTCATGTACAGAATTGAGACGGCTCCTGGCGACGCCCCACAGCAAAGGCAGTCAGAGTGTCCCACACAGCCGCTGGCAGACACTCAGCTTCGATGATAATAAATGTCTCTATGATTTCTGAATGTGCCCGAAGCCTACCCTGGGGCCCAGACCCACAGCTGCTCTCAGTAAAGCCTAAAGAGGCCACCAGAGCGGGACCCCAACCTGCCAGTCAGGAGACCTTGGGGGGGGGCATCTTTCCACGAGCATTTCCCCATAGTTGTTATATGAATTTAAATGTTAACAAAAATAAATATTTAGTGCTTTTTAAGGAAAGCCTCTGGTAAGAAATGACTGAGGAGTAGAAGAGAAAAAAAAAAACAGTAAAGTGGTGAGACACAGGACCAGAGCCCCAGGGTTGCTCCTCAGCCTCAGTGCCCCAGGCCGACTCCGTGGGGATGGGGGTGGGCCTGGGACTCTGCATTGCTCACCAGCTCCCTGCTGAGAGCTTCCCCGCCCCCCCAACATCTGGAGGAAAAAGAGCGTGGGGCACACGGGGTCCCCTAGCCCAAGCCTGTCCCTCTGCCCATTCTTGTAAATCCTGTGAGCTGAGAATGGGTTTTATGTATCATAATGGTTAGAAGTCAAAAGAAGAACATTTGTGAGACATAAAAAATTACAACCTAGACAGCAGATTAAAAAGCAGAGACATTACTTTGCCAACAAAGGTCTGTCTAGTCAAAGCTATGGTTTTTCCAGTAGTCATGGCTGAATGTGAGAGTTGGATCATAAAGAAAGCTGAGCCCCAAAGAATTGATGCTTTTGAACTGTGGTGTTGGAGAAGACTCTTGAGAGTCGCTTGGACTGCAAGGAGATCCAACCAGTCCATCCTAAAGGAAATCAGTCCTGAATATTCATTGGAAGGACTGATGCTGAAGCTGAAACCCCAATACTTTGGCCACCTGATGCGAAGAACTGACTCATTGGAAAAGACCCTGATGCTGGGAAAGATTGAAGGCAGGAGAAGGGGATGACAGAGGATGGGATGGTTGGATGGCATCACCAACGTGATGGACATGAGTTTGAGTAAACTCTGGGAGTTGGTGATGGACAGGGAGGCCTGGTGTGCTGCAGTCCATGGGGTTGCAAAGAGTCGGACAAGATTGAGCAACTGAACTGAAAAATTACAAGAAATTCAAATGTCAACATCCATTATGAGAACACAGACACACCCACTCTTTAACACCATGGCTGCAGTCACAAGTGCACAGTTGAGCAGGTGGGACAGAGAAGGTACAGAGCCTGGAATACTGGCCGTTTGGACTTGACAGATAGGGCGTGTCGACGCCGAGGTTGGTGGTTCCCAGTGCCGCCAGCAGGGGGAAGCAGAAAGCCATGTGTGTGGGCCCAGCCTCCTGGGGCTCAGGAAGGGTGTTTAGGAATGTGATAGGGAGACCAGGCTGAGGTTTAGGAGGCAGGTACAGGCCTGTGGTGGAAAGGCAATTAGCGAGGGGAGCGAGTGGAGGACGCCCAGGGTAAGTAGGGCAACGGGGCACCCTCCTTGAGGGCTGGTGGGAGAGTGGGCCCCCAGGGTGGAGGCCCAGGTGTGGGCGGTAGGGAGCCGCGGGAGGGCTGCAGGTGGCGGGGAGAAGGAGCGTTGTTTTTGGGGGGGCTGTCACCTGGTGGCCGTGCCTCTGGGCAGCAGCCCCGGCAGTCCACGACTGGGAGGACGGGGGGCCAGCAGCCCCTGAGCTGGGACCAGTGCCCCGCGCCCCCCACCCAGGGCTCAGAACTGCCCCTCCCTCAGAGTCTGCGCTCTGGCCCAGGACAGCCTGGACGAGCAGTGTCTCTGTCTGATCTCCCTCTTTCCCCTGTTCTCCTCTGCTTTCGCAGCGACTGGGCCCTCGGTGCACTTGGGGTGGCACCTTTAGATTCCAGCCTGTCTTCTTCCCCGAGGCTCCTGCAGATGTGAGGCCTTTTTTATTTTTAAAGGATTCTTTTGCAGTCAGACAGGGACGAGGCTCACAGACTCCTGTTAGAGTCTGGTGAGCACCACGGTGGATGAACCCCCAAAAAAATGCACACGGGCAGGTGGACTCACAATTTGAAATATGATTTCAGAGCTCATCCATTACCTGAGCCCCCCAAGTTAGGACCCCTGACTGGCAATGGGCATAGTCCCTGTAGCTGACACAGTAAAGAATCTGCCTGCAATGCAGAAGACCTGGGTTCGATCCCTGGGTTGGGAAGATCCTCTGGAGAAGGGAATGGCTACCCACTCCAGTATTCTTGCCTAGAGAATCCCATGGACTTGGGGGAGGGGGCGATCAGCTCAGGGTCAGCTGGGGTGTTAGCCATCCCCAGCTTTAAGGTTTGGGGCTTGATATCAGTCACTCAAAGGCGGAGGACTGTAATTCCTGACTGTCTTACTACCCCGCCTCCGCCACCCTTCCTCCTGTCTCATGGAGATGATGGAATACTTAAGTCTTTCTTTGTGATGGATGATAGCCTTCTGAAGAAAAGTTATGACAAACCTAGACAGTGTATTAAAAAGCAGAAGCATCACTTTGCCAACAAAGTTCTGTCTAGTCAAAGCTATGGTTTTTCCTGTAGTCATGTATGGATGTGAGAGTTGGACCGTAAAGAAAGCTGAGCTCTGAAGAATTGATGCTGTTGAACTGTGGTGTTGGAGAAGACTCTTGAGAGTCCCTTGGACTGCAAGGAGATCCACCCAGTCCATCCTAAAGGAAATCAGTCCTGAATATTCTTTGGAAGGACTAAAGCTGAAGCTCCAATACTTTGGCCACCTGATGCACAGAACTGACTTATTGGAAAAGCCCCTGATGCTGGGAAAGGTTGAAGGTGGGAGGAGAAGGGGATGACAGAGGATGAGATGGCTGGATGGCATCACCGACTAGATGGACATGAGTTTGAGCAAGCTCCAGGAGATAGTGAAGGACAGGGAAGCCTGGCGTGCTGCAGTCCACGGGGTTGCAGAGTCAGACGAGACTGACAGCAACAGCAAGAAGCCTTCCGAACACACAGCACAGGAGCTACTCTGACCTCCTTGGACGGTGCCTCTGGCAGTTCTCAGCTGTGTGCTGGGCGCTCTGGAGGCTTCTGAGGAACTTCCCTGAGAGAATTCACTTCTGGTCTCCAGGTTTGGCAAGTGCGCTGACCTCACCCTGTGCATTGGGCTGGGAAACATTGTGTTCACAGGACTGTGGGCTTAGAGAGTTCTATTTTTGGGATCTTAATACAGCACAGCATAAAATCCCCTTTCCTTGAAACAAAAAGAGTACTATATCAGATAGAGTCTTATTTAGGAAATTATTAGCCTCTATAACTAGAAATAAGTAGATTACATTTTTTAAAAGATTAATTCAATCTCCATAACAAAGAATGTTTAAAGGAATATAGTCACTCCATTATGAAATGTTTGCAGAGGACAAATGGAAGCTTAGAAGCTTGAAGTGTTTTTCAAATGATCCAGAATTTAAAAATCTAATCCAGCATCAACTTTCAGTAAAAGCAATCGTTTCCAGCAAGTGTGGTCTCATACTGTGTGTGGGTGTATGTGTGTGTAGAACAGCAGTTTTAGGTAGAATATAACTTAGGTAACACAAAATTCACCTGTTTACATGTACAGTTTCATGATTTTTTCAGTAAAACATACAGAGTCCCAGGTGGCTCAGTGGTAAAGAATCCACCTGCCAATGCAGAAGCAGATGGAGACACAGGTTCGATCCCTGGGTCAGGAAGATCCCCTGGAGGGGGAAATGGCATCCCACTCCAGTTTTCTTGCCTGAAAAACTCCATGGACAGAGGAGCCTGGGGTTGCAAAGAGTCGGATATAACTGACCAACAGCACACACACCAAAATGGTCTCTTACTTTTTAATCACAAGATGCACTGTTAGGAAAATAATCATTTTAATGTATTATATACTGTATTTCCATCATCTGCGTTGTATTCTTACTAATAAGTGACCTCTACTGATATCGCTTCCAGGCAAGCACGAGACAGCCGGAGCAAAGCTCTTGCAATCTTATCAGAAGCTGAGGTGAGTGTTGTCAGAGGCCAGGCTGTCCTGGGCCCTGGGGGCTGGAGCACAGAGGACTCACTGAAAGAACATATAGATCTCCTGACTTTCAGATGTCACTGCTTTGGAATGTAACTTTAAAAAAAAAAAGATGATAAAAAGTGCCTGGAGAAGATTCAGAGATATTTCCACATTCTTATGAAAAGCTAGAAGGATTGAGCATAGGATTTTCTCACAAGACATTTTGTTGCTTGAATTTTCCTGATGTGTTTTCAGGAAACGAAATGTTGTCTTTGATGGCATGTCCAGTGAGATTCAGGGCTTCCCAGGTGGCTCAGTGGTAGTCAGCCTGCCATTGCAGGAGACAAAAGAGACTCGGGTTCAATCCCTGAGTCAGGAAGATCCCCTGGAGGAGGAAATGGTAACCCACTCCAGTGTTCTTGCCTGGAAAATTCCATGGACAGAGGAGCCTGGTGGGCTACAGTCCATGGGGTGGCAAAGAGTCAGACATGACAGCGCACATGCCCCAATGAGATTCTAAACCAAGCATTTGCTTTTATGAATCATTCATGTCCCCAACATCTTGCCTGGTGCCTGACACTTTAGAAACATTTGTGGAACGAACATTGGTGGGTTTGAATAATGACTTGAGAGATAGTAACTTTATAAACAAAATTCTAAGCACCCAGTCATCATGAAGGGAGCAATAATTCACACACCGGACTATGCCGAATTTATTAAAGTATTCTTGAAAACTCTCCACCAGCAGCCTTTTTTGTTTTGTTTTGTTTATAGTGAGACTTGCCAATTTCCGGATTTTTCATTGTTTTACTCCATCTGTCTTCCCCTGCCAACTTCTTTTAGCATAAACTTAAGATTCCTCTTCTGGTCGGTTTTTACATCCGTGACATCTGGGGCATTCTGCTGGGCGCTGTCCACTGAGAGGATGCTCAGGTCCACGTGGCAGCCACGTGTGGAGTCCGGGTGCCAGGGCAGCCAGGCCCCAGAGCCGCCCCGCACCCCAGCTGTCGTGGGAACACAGAGCTGGAGTGCAGTGCCTGGGTCTGGGACCACAGGACTGCGTCTCCCCGTTCAGACCCCAGAAATCGGCCCTGTGCGGAGCGGATCCAGGCAGGTTCCTGGACCCTCTTCTAAAAAATGGGGAAGCGTTTTTTTTTTTTTTTTTGCAGGAAGGCAGACTTGAATTACAGGATAAATGTGGATGTTGTACACGCGTAAGACTCACAACCCGTTTCTCATCCCTGTGTTTTCCCTCAGCAGCAAGATCTCCGTGGTGCCTCCCACCCCTCCGCCTCTCAGTGAAAGCCAGTGTAGCGGCAGCCCTGCCAGGGTAACGCGCCTGTCGGTTCCCGCTGGGTGGGGACGGGACGGGGAGGGATGCGGCCGGACACGCGGCTGAGAGACTGAGCCTCATGGCAGAGCGATCCAGCCTCGGCTGCGGGGTCCCCAGGCCAGGAGGGAAGGCGGGCGCCCATAGGAGGCTGGAGATGCTGGGCTCCGCCTGCTGTCTGGGTTTCCATCACGCACTGTGGGGCCCTGGGGCCGCCCCCACCCCCCACGCCCCGCACTGTCAGCGGACTCATCTTCCGCCTGCATCCCACATCCTTATCTCTTCGCTCTTGTTATTTTGTTGCTTCTGTCCCCTCACCGTGCCCTTGAGTGTGGGGGTCTGGACGGGCTGCCGTGTGTGTCAGGGGCCTTTGGGAGTTGAAAAGGGAAATGTAGGTTGATTCACAGGCGTGTGACTCACAGATGGGGGAGTACCTGTGGAAATGTGCATGAGCGTGTCATTGAGTGTGTGTAGGCGCTTAGCGTAAAAAACACCAGGACTCTGCCCATCCAGAGCAGTTAGCTGTGTGATCCTGGGGGTCTTACCTGGCTCCCACCTGGGAGGCAGCGATAATCATACTCGTCTGGCTTACCTCCCACGGCTGGTGTGAGAAATCACCCGAGTAATGTTTGTGCTGGTACTTGGAAACTGTAGAGTTCCATGGAAACACATGGTCTTGATTATTTATTATTCTGCTTATTAAAGAGAGTAACTCCATCTGTACACAGGAGGATGTACATGTCTGCCGGTGAGAGAATTCTTTTTTCAGTTTCAAACTGAGACCCCAGAGTGACTTTCAAAATCCTGCTCTATTTTCTCCTTGGGAGAGGCTTCCTTTACTCCTTGAGAGTAATTTATCTGAAGTTACTTGAGCACAGACGTGCTCAAAACATATAACTGGGATGGATGGACAGGTGGGTGGGTGGATGGATGGATGGATGGATGGATGGATGGGACTTGCAGAGGGAGTGGCCTCATTTCTGTTCTTTCTCTTGCTTTTTCCCTCTCTCTTCTGCACTGGGAGGTGGACCTGACCCCTGGCTCCGGTCTGCTCACCTTGTCTCTTCTGTCGCATGCATTATGCCCACGTTGACGTCCCCTCTGGGCAGAGCTGGGGTTGGGGACGTAAGAGAAGGAGGCTAGAGAAGCGAGAATGGGCTCACTGCAGTCTTTGAGCCCATGACGTATCCGTGCTTATTTCTACGAGGTAGTTGTTAGCTTGTGGACAACCACACAGTACTGCCCCTTCCTTTAAGGCAGATGTCAAAACTCAGAGGAGAGACACTGAAAAAAGAGGGCTCCTCCCTCCCTCCCGAGAGGCCCGTGCCCCAGACACACATGCGCACACCCCCATGGGCACCCCGAGAACCCACACACCCCTGCGCCCACGTGTGCCAGAGTTTGGGGGTTAGTGGCCTGGAGCCTGCCGGGGCAAACATCGGTCATCAGACAGAAGTCTCATTCTCTCTCTTGTCTCTACTTTAGTTGCAGGAACTCGGGCAGTTTAAAGGATTCAATAAGTCTGTGGAAAATTTGTTTCTGTCTGTCACCACCCACATGAAAAGTAAGTGGCTGCCTCTGTGGGGGTTCTGGCCTGCAGGCCAGGCATGCACACCAACTCCCGGAGAAAGCCAGGACCCCTTCCCCGTCCCCTGTGTCTGCATCAGCAACAGCTCTGAAGGCCTGGCGTGTGCTGGGACCTTTCTTTCTGCCAGGAGCGCAGGAGGCCCCGAAGTTTCCAGCGGGTGGACTTGTCAGCGTCATGGACGGCACAGCTCAGAGAGGAGCGACCCTGACGTATCCTGGGGGAGAGGGGAGCCCCGGGGCTGGGGGGTGGGGGGCATGTGTGGGATCTCGTCTAGAGAACAGAGACAATGCACAGACTCAGCCCTGCCCAGCACACACAGGAGATACTAATTAACAGCGTGAGGGGCTGATCTCAAGAAAGAGGGTGCTCTGAAGGGGCGCTGTCCAACATGATAGCCTCTGACCTCACGTGGCTCTTAAAATGTGGCCAGAGTAGAATGCACGTCAGATTCAGGAGACTCGCTATTGACCAAAGAGTGATATTTTTCATTAATAACTTTAATACCGATAATATATTTTCACAATATATTAAATGAAAGTGAAGTCACTCAGTCGTGTCCGGCTCTTTGCGACCCCATGGGCTGTAGCCCACCAGGCTCCTCCGTCCATGGGATTTTCCCAGGCAAGGATACTGGAATGGGTTGCCATTTCCTTCTCCAGGGGATCTTCCCAACCCAGGGATTGAACCCCAGTCTCCCGCACTGTAGACAGACGCTTTACCGTCTGAGCCACCAGAGAATTCCTAGTATATTGGATATGTTGCATTAAATGAAATATAGTTTTACAATTAACTCTGCCTGGTTCTTGTTGTCTTTTAAAATGTGGCCACTAGAAAATTTGAAATGACATATGTGAACTGTATTATATCTCTGTTGAGTGTTGAGTGGTTTCAAGGTCCATGTTAGAGTGACAAGGCTCTCCTGGGGAAAAAAAGCCTTTTAAAGGACACAGTCACCTTTGAGGGGGCACTTAACCATGTGGGGCTCCTTCCTGCTTCCCTTACTCATCTTAATTCTGAACTACTTTATTGCAAAGAAATTTTTAAGTCATCTTTTCAGGATTTGCTTATGCAAATGGTTATAAGGATACCCCAAGGCTTATTTCTGCCCCAAGAAGTGGTATTTAATTGTGAAATCTTTGTAAGGAGCCCCTAAAAACCCAGCGTGTTTGTTCAGCTTCCTTCCTTGTGTTTGGACAGCCAGACACGTGGGATGTATAATGGCCCAAATTCGGGGTAACCTGGTGGGGAGGTGGCGTTGAACCCCCTTGATGGCAGCCTGCCTGCAGAGACCTGGGGACACGTGGTCACCATTTAGGATCCAGCCCCCTGTCCTGTGCCCAGGCCCCACGTCCAGTGGGATGTCAGGGACTCTCCCCTGGGCCCCAGAGCTCGGGGTGCAGATATCCTGGAGAAAGGTCTCAGCAAAGCTCTGTGCTCCCACCTGTCTTCCTTGTATTTCTTTTCTAGAACTCTCCAAGTCCCAGAATGACATGACCTCTGACAAGCAGCACCTGGAGACGGTCCCCAGGCAGCGTGAGGGCCGGCCGGAGAGGAGGAGCCTGTCCGACACGGCGATCAACGCCAGCACCAGGGTATCCCCGGCCACCCCACCGGCTGCCCCAACGCCTGTCCATCTTCTCTGTAGAGTTCTCTGTCCTTTTATTTCATAGGACATCAAGCTGTCTAAAAAGCACTTACAAACGTCTCCATTGGGTGGGGTGGGGGTGCTGGCCAAATGAAGGTTAAAATTCAGTTGTATTGAGTTTGGAACATGGTTCAGAACAGGGAAAGGCTTCCACGTGACCCCCATGGCCCCCTAAGGCTTCCAGGCCACGCCAAGCACAAAGGCTCAGCTGCAGTCTTGCCGTGTGCCCGCTTATTCCTGGTCTGTGGATACACTTGCTCAGGCCAGAGGCTGGCACGTCCTGCTTCCAACAACTTCTGGTTAAAATCTGTCCTGATCTCTGAAACTGTTGAAACCGCAAACGCTGCACGTCCAGGTGCGGGCATGAGGGAGCTCTGCTGGTACCTCCGCCGGAAGAGACCTCACCTGACCAAGGCCTGTGGGGAAAGAATTACTCTTCCCACCGGCATTAACTGAGCCGGAAGCAGATGCGCTGGAGTGTGAGGGAAAGCGGACTTTAGGGTCAGAAAACCTGGGTTCCGGTCCAGCTGAGGTGACCTGGCTGTTTGCAGGGTGGGTGTGACAACTCCAGTTGGCTAGACAGGACAGGTGACCTTATCTCCAATACCAGCTCTGTTGAGGGTGTCCCCAGACAGACTGTTCTGTAGGCAAAGGGGTGAGGGTAACCCCACTCTTCAGCTGGGACTTCCACGCACTTCCACAAGATACTAAATTCTGCCTCCACCCACCAGGTCATCACGTGACCTCCTGAGCATCCAAAGCACACCCCCCCACCCCCAGGGAATGAAGATGATATTACCTGTTCTCCCAGATCAGCACAGTGTTCTTGCAAAGATCCCCTGAGATAACTTAGGTAGCAGTTTAGAGTCTCTGTTATCTAAATGTAAATCTAGATTGCTCCTATGTGTTACTCTGTGCCAGGCTTTTGCTGAAAGCTTTACCTTTTATCCTCATACCACCTTGAGGTGGGTATTCATGTGACCCTGTTTACATTTATGGACACTTAGGGAGATTGTCACAGACCCCTGGCAACAGAACCAGAAATGCGGGGGCCGGGGGCGGGTGTGTGGTCTTCAGTCTTGGTTTGGAGGCTGAATGCTGATTTTCCACTTTAACGTGTATGCAAGTCACTTGGGGGTCTTGTTGAAATGCAGATTCAGAGTCACTAGATCTGGCAGTGGGCGTAAGATGCAGGATCTCAGGTGTGTTTCTGAAGCGCTCGGGGATCAGCAGGTGGTCTGCTGGCTCACTGTAAGGGCAAGCCATGGAGAGTGCGTGACGTGTATTTGGAAGGTCTTTGAGACTCTGAAGTGCAAACAAGTGTGTGTTCCTTTCAGCTCCGCAGCGCCCACATGAACACCGTCCTAACGTTCCTGAATCAAGAGGTGGAGGAGAGGGTCAGCATGTGTTTAGGTGACACTGTGTTCTGGGCGGATGGAGCATGTGTTACTTATTAGGTTGGTCAAAAAGTTCATTTGGATTTTTCCGTAAGGTCTTATGGACAAATCTGAATGAAGTTTTTGGCAAACCCAATACTTGATCACATTTCATTCTTACAAAATTCCCGGAAAGATTTTGCTGCTCCCATGATAAATATCTAGAACCTGAGTTTTAGTGCAAGGTTAACCACCTTGTCTCATAGCCATGGTTCATGAAAGGTGGAGCCAGGAATACATCCCAGGTTCATCCGATTCTTAACTTCTGCATTCTTAACCTCTTCATCATATGCTCCACCTAAGGAGGACAAATGAACTTTTTAAGTCCTTAAACAACCCCTGTGAAGCCTGGGCTGTTACTGTCCCATTAAAGATGAGGACTCGGGGACGAAGGGATGGCCTGGGGGGTAACGCGGTCAGAGTGGCAGGACCAGGTGGAGGCTGCCCCCGAGGGCGTTCCTGTGATTCCTGCCAGGAGATTCCAGCAGGGTTTGCAGACTTGCATGGTTCCCACTTCTGATGTCACATACCAGGTGCTGGGGCATCCCAAGTATCCGTAGGCTTTGCTCCTGACTTTCTGAAGTGATGCAATGTGACATCACCCTTCCCGGCTGCTCATGCCGTGGGGGGCACCTGCCAGCCGACAGCAAGTTTGTCTGAAGGGCCGGCGGTGCCCAAGGGTAGAAGCCAGGAGAATGGGTGGAGGGGTGTGGCCTGAGAGCCACCAACGGGTAGACCTTTTGTCCCCGGTGTGTCCGCTTCACTGCCACACTCTTGGCAGGACACGCTCAGGACTTCCTGTAGGCATTCTGTCTCCCCACATTGCTTGAGGTTGTGGCTATTTTAAAGAGAAATTGAGCCAAATTTTTATAAAGTGCTCAGTAATTATGCATGATCTGTAAATGCTAAGTAAATACCAGGTCAGCATATAAAGAGCACATCTTTAAATAGGATGTTTGTCAGACTGCAATTACACACGCCTGCGTTGGTGAGCTCACGACAGTTCCACTTACACGTCCATTGGAATATGTGGAGCCTCTCGCCAGCAGTGAGGAGGCAACACGGTGCGTGCCCTTTGTAAGTGAGGGATGCCAGCGCCCCTCTGCCGGGGGTGACACTGAGACACAGAAATAGGAAATCATTGTCTTAAAATGATGCTGGCACGAGAAGTCCCTGAGAAATCAGGTCAGGATTGCTTCCAAGTTGTGTCTCTGTCCTTTAAGTTTGAGCTGCAGAAATTCTCCAGCAACTATCTGGGCCAGGATTCATCAAGAAGTGAATTTCTGCTGCTGAATTGCCTTCCTCTGGGGTTGACTCAGTCTGCACAACCCTAAGAGCAGTGCAGCTGTTTTCTAGCACTCCTGCAAACACTAAACTTTATACTTGTTATTTTAATAATTGCTCATTTAGTGTGTGAGTTGCTCAGTCGTGTCTGACTCTTTACAACCCCATAGGCTGTAGCCAACCAGGCTGCTCTGTCCAAGGGATTTTCTAGGCAAGAATTCTGGAGCGGGTTGCCACTTCCTCTGCCAAGGGATCTTCCCGACGCAGGGATCGAACCTGCATTTCCTGTATCTCCTGCGTTGCAGGCAGATTCTTTACCCAGTGAGCCATACTGGAAGCTGATAGACAATTTTAAAAAATCTGCATTTCTTTAATTTCGGGTGAGCCTTGTCTTATAGTCTCCTTTTTGAACACCTTCGTTTCTGAAATCCTCCCTTTGGGTGGATTCCTCCAGCCCTCTGCCCACTCTTTAGTACCCCGAAGCCGCCTATTCTCTGGAGGACCTCACGCATCACTGGGCGTGCGTGATCTCATGACCAGGTTCTGCCTGGCCTCTTTGGTGCCTGCAGTTGCTCTGGCCTCTAGCAGGCGCCAGGAACATGCTCCACACCTGAGCATCGCGATAGCCCCTCATCCTGGGATACCCTAACTTTGGGTCTCTCCCCAGCCAGCCTTCAATACCCACTCAGGTCAGACTCCCACTGAAGACCACCCCGGGGGCCCCTCCTGCACTCACCCTCCTTCTCTGTCCCGTCACTTGGCTCATGCCTCCGTTTTAATGGTTTGTATCTCTGTTGAGCTAGTGAGCCCTTGGGGGCTTCCCAGGTAGCTCAGCAGAAAAGAAACCACCTGCCAGTGCAAGAGATGCAGGAGACTCGGGTTCGATCCCGGGCTTGGAAAGATCCCTCGGAGCAGGGAATGGCAACCCACTCTAGTCTTCTTGCCTGGAAAATGCCGTGGACAGAGGAGCCTGGCGGGCTACAGCCCATGGGGTCACAGAGTTGGACGTGACTGAGCACACATGCCCATAGTAAGTCCCTGGAGAACAGACAGAGCATCTTCTCGGCCTTTCCCTCCTCCTCTTGCCCGTAGGACTGAGTGGCACATTGAACACTGTGTTGCTTAACAAATGTCTGATGGAATTGAGTTCTGGGAATTGAGAGCATGAACAAATGACTAGTCTTTCATCTCCTCTATACTAGTCTTAGCTTTTCATTCCTGAAAATTATGACTGTAGCGCAACTGTTTATATTTCCAAGTTGAACTTCCAACCCAGTGTCACAGTCTAAAGTCTCAATTTGGAAACTTTGTCTTTTCAACCAGGACGAGGCTTGCCCCTCCTTGCTCTGTACCATCACTGTCCGGTACAGTGATCCCCAGCCTTTCGGCCCCAGGGACGGACTTCACGGAAGAAAATTTTTCTGCGGACCAGGGTGGGGATCGGGGGTCGGGAATGGTTTCGGGATGATTCAAGCACATTACATTTACTTTGCTCTTTATTATTATTACGTCAGCTCCACCTCAGATAATCAGGCATTAGCTCCTGGAGGTTGGGGACCCCTGCAGACAGAACTTTCTAGCCAATGCTGCATGTCATGTGGTTACTGAGCGCTGGAAATGTGTCTAGTGCAAACAAGAAGCTGAACTGATTTGATTTTAATTGATTGGAATTTAAATAGCCCATGTGACTAGTGGCTACCATATTTGAAAGCACAAGCTGCTTGTACACATTATAGAAGTCCCAACTATAAAATATTTTTGTTTAATTTAGAGACATATTTTGATTTTTTTTTTTCCTTTTTTAATGAGCATACCAGAGATGAAACTCCGCCTGTCAGGCTGAATACTATATTTCATGTGATTAAATGCTTGTGTCATTGTGAAGGTCAAATGCGGACTTCAGTTTCTTTAACACTTGTACTAATCCTCAGGTATTTCCCTGGTGGCTCAGATGGTAAAGAATCTGCCTGCAATGCGGGTTTGATCCTTGGGTGGGGAAGATCCCCTGGAGGAGGGCATGGCAACCCACTCCAGTATTATTGCCTGGAGAATCCCATGGACAGAGGAGCCTGGCGGGCTACAGTCCATGGGGTCACAAAGAGTCAGATACAACTAAGCAACTTTCATTCACTCAGTACTTTAGTAACCCACCCATCACTGTTTGTGAATGTCTCCAAGTTCTATGATGTCTGCCTTGTAACCGTGTGTGTGTGTGAGTGTATTCATTTATCCACATGGAAGCATGCCCTTTTACTCAGCACTCAGAAGTTTACATATTAGTGACATGCAAGCCATGCTCATTGAAGTCATCACATTTGAACAAAACCAAACTGAGATGAAGACTACCCTATTAATTTTATGTTTGTTTTTTCAGAAGGTCAGCACACCAGATATTCTGAAACCTCTCAGTCCAGAGAGCCCCAGACGCCTTACGAGTCCTGTTTTGAAGCAAGAAGACATCTCATCCAGTCCAGTGCTCAACACTTTGTTCTCAGGAGGCTTGAGACAGGTGAGTCTCAGCTCATAATCCTTGACCCGCGCTGTGTGGTTGTCACGATGTCAAATGGGATTGGTCGGCAAGAGTATGAGTGATGTGTTGTCTTGTGGGATGAACTGGAGCACAGTGAAGTGCTGAGGTGACATTTTACTTAGATTGACAGCTGGAAAGAAAAAAAAACCTTGCTAATCTTTGGTGGTTTTCTCTTTTACATCTTATTGTGAGCATATTCATACAGGCAGAGAGTAATTCATAGTAAGTCATGGTGTCTTAGGATGAGATGTGTTTAGTTTTGATGAAGTCTGATTCATCAGGTTTTTCTCGCGTGGTTACTTCTCTGTCTTTTTTAATTGACTGCTTTTTATTTTTGGTTGCGCTGGGTCTTGGTTGCTTCGTTGCTGGTTGCAGAGAGCGAGGGCTACTCTTCGTTGCGGTGCAGGGCCTCTCCTTGTGGTGGCCTTGGAGCGTGGAGTTGTTGTGCAGCGTGGACTCTAGGGTGTGTGGGCTTCTGGAGCTGTGGCGCAGGGGCTTAGATGTGTGCCCATGTGGGATCTTCCCAGACCAGGGATCGAACCTGTGTTCCCCACATTGGCAGGCGGATTCTTAACCTCTCTACCACCAGGGAAGTCCTCTCTGTCTTATCCACCCACAAGTCATGCAGATATTCTGCCATGTTTTCTTCTAGAAGCTTTTATAAAAATGTAGCTTTTATGTGTGGTCCCTGCTCCAGCTCATTAATTTTCGTGAATGGTGAAAGGTGCAAGTTGACGTTCATTTTTTCCAACATATGAATACAGTTTATTCCAGTGCCGTTGGTTAGAAAAAGGACTCTGAGTTTTTCCATTGACTTTGGTGTCTTTGTTGAAAGGCAAAGGACCATGTCAGTGCAGACCTTCTCCTAGGTTCTCTGTTCCACTCCACTGACCTGTTTGTCTTTGTGCCAAGGCCAGACTGACGTGATCACTGTAGCTTTGTAGGAAGTTGGGTGGTTTAAGTCCTCCAACTTTGCTCTTGAGATTGCCTTGTAATGTTTTAAACGTAGAGTCTTCATAGGCAGGCCTTTTTATTCATTCACTTGTTATTCAAAAACATTGCATGAATGTTGACTCTGTGTTTAAACCTGTGATATGTATTAGATATGTAAGATGGAGCCTTGGGTGAGGAGCGCTGAGACTTCAATTAAAGCTCTTCAATGTATTCAGTGATCTCAAACAATCACTCAAGAGGGAGGGGGCATACCTGTGCCTGAGGCTGATTCATGTTGATATATATGGCAGAAACCAACAAAATATTGTAAAGCAATTGTCTTCCAACAAAAAATCAGTTCAGTTTAGTCGCTCAGTCGTGTCCGGCTCTTTGCAACCCCATGGACTGCCTTTTGTGACCCCATGGACTGCGGCATGCCAGGCTTCCCTATCCATCACCAACTCCCAGAGCTTGCTCAAACTTATGTCCATCGAGTCAGTGATGCCATCCAACCATCTCATCTTCTGTCATCTCCTTCTCCTGCCTTCAATCTTTCCCAGCACCAGGGTCTTTTCCGAGAAGTCAGTTCTTTGCATCAGGTGGCCAAAGTATTGAAGCTTCAGCTTCAGCATCAGTCCTTCCAATAAAAAAGTTAATTTTAAAAAATAAACAATCACAAAAACTCCCTCAGCTTCAGAGTCCTCATCAAGGAGATGGTATCAGAATTGTTGTTCTTATTTCACTGGATTGCTTTGGTAATCAAATGGATGCTCACCTTCCGTGGTGTAATACAGTGGTTAAGAACTCAGCTTCCAGAAACCAGCATCTTGGTTCACCTTCCAGCTCCTTTAGTGGCAAGGAGCATGTTCCAGAGCTAGTATTCTAACCATTGTGGTACTTTAGCCTTGGGGTGGTTGTATTTTTATTAGAAATAGTGTCCACGTCAGAAAATGATAAACTTCCCCTATCTCCATGAATGTCCAGCAGAATATTCAGAAGTCACAGCAGAAGCAGGCTAGACCTTGAAGAATCCTTGATTCAATCCACAAAATGCTGGCAGTTCCCAACCCACTCTTTGTCTGCAACCACTGTCTCCTGTGGGTGGTCCTGCCTCCATCAAAACCACTGCTCTGTACCCTCACTACGCAAAATGTGGGGCACCAGGGTTACCTGGGAGCTTCTCAAAGATCAGAATCTCTAGCCTTCCCTCAGACCTACTGGAGTCTGAATCTGTCATTTAGAAAGAGCCCCAGCAGATTCAGGCTTCCCACGTGGCTCAGTGGTGAAGAATCCACCTGCAATGCAGGAGATGCAGGTTCCATCCCTGGGTGGTGAAGATGCCCTGGAGGAGGAATTGGCAACCCGCTCCAGTATTCTTGCCTGGAGAAATCCCATGGAGAGAGGAGCCTGGTGGGCTACAGTCCATGGGGTCAAAAAGAGGCAGACTTGACTGAGCAGCACGTACCAGGAGATTCATGCACACATAAACACGCAAATTGAACCCTGTCCACTTCAAATCCCAGTGAAATACTTCGTATGTTAGGGATTCTTCAGCAGTCTAGGGATGTGCCGTTCAGTTCTCGCAGCCCCTGTTGGGGAACCCTCCCAACTCCTGCCCTGGGTAGCCTCCTGCTACCGGCATGGCCCTCCTCTTCTTGGATGCCCTGAGCTCATGAGCGTTGGGGATGGTCCTGCCAGAGCCTCTCGGATTGCTGCTGTTGGGGGATGGGTGTTGTTTATACTGGAGAAGAGTTCGGAAAGGTGAAAGCACTGAATGAACACTTCCCTGAGGGGGAGCTTAAGCAAGGGCAGCTCCAGAACATTCTCTCCTGGGGCTGAACCCCGTGGTGGGTACAGACAGGGGAGGCAGAGGAGCGGCCTCTGGGAGCTTTTCCAAGACCCATGGAAAGTTTGCCTCCACCCTGGCTAACGTACGGACTCCAGGCAGCGTGAGATTTTTTTTTTTTCTTATTAACTAGTATTTATTTATGACTGCATCGGGTCCCAATTGCGGCATGTGGGATCTTTTGGTGCACTGGGAGCTCTTGTAGCTATGACATGCGGCTTGTGGGAAACCAACTTCCTAACCAGGGATGGAGCCCACATCCCCCGCACTGAAAGGCCGACTCCCGACCTCTGACCTCTGGACCACCGGGGAAGTCCCCCAGCTTGAACCTTGATAAGGTTGATCCAGGAGGACGGGGCCAAACCCTGCTCCTAAGGGAGCCCAAACTCGTCCAGGGGCCTCTCAACTTGACTCTTAAGCTCCTTCAAGGCCCGGAAACCAGCACAGAGGCAGACACACAGACTCGGATCCTCCCCACAGCGGTCCACGGGGCCCTCCGCGAGCTGCCCACCGCCCCACACCTGCCCCCTCTCTCAGTCCTCTCTGGGGCGCTGGTCCTTGAACAGCCGGACGCAGCCTGCCTCCCAGTTCCTTGGCTGTTCCCTCTCTCAGGCTCCAGGCTCTCTCACTCCCTTCCCTCCCTGGCAGTCTTGGCGCCAAGGTCACCTTCTTAGGAGCTCTGCCCTCTGCCCTGCGCTGCCTCTCTGGCTCACCTATTTTCTGTTTATCCACGCGCTTATCACCTTCTGCCCCTGCGTAATTGGCTTTACCTGTGGTTTATTGTCTATTGTCATTCCCAGGTGCCCCGGAGCAGTGCGTGACACTTAATGGCACTCAGTAAATATTTGTGAGATGGTTGGATGCATTTTTATCAGAGCTATTATTGAAAGCCTACTGTGCGCTCGATGCAGAGCTGGGAACTCCATCTCCGGGTCATTCTCACCATGGTCTTGTCCTGGGGATGCGGTTGTCCCATTTCCCAAATGGGAAAACTGAGGCTCTCGGAGGGTATGCTGTTTGCTAAGGCTATATGGTCGCTGCAGAATTCTGACTGGGAGTTAAAAGTCCAGGCCTTCTGTCCTATCCCAGAGGAATTGTTGGCCTCTTAAACTGACTGCCACCCCCAGTTCAGCTTTGCTCACTTGGAGCTGGTCCACACCCTGAAGACCTTTCAGAGTGGGTGGGGGGTGAGGGGGGAAGGATGCTGGGGTAACAGGATGTGGTGAGTGTATGTGTTGTACTGAGACTGTCTCTTGGGAAAGCACCTCCGAATTACCGTGCAAATTCAACCTGACACTGTCTTTGCGCTTTCTTCTAAAATCTTCTCTGATTTGTGCCCTCAACATGTATCATCACGATATTGAATTATTAGACATGCAGTCTTAACCTGTTCCCCTTAGACTGAAGCAGTGTGTGTTTGAGGAAACTAAACTCCCACAAAGCCAAAAACAGTTCTGTTTCTTGCCCAAAGAAAAGTCGCCTCCCCTTCTGAGGGACATATAAATGTCTCTGAGAAACAGGAAGTTGGGGCTAGAAAAAGCTTATTAAATCTCTGCTTATTACAAAAGTAAGAACACAAACGGACAATAAATAGAGGAAGCACTCGACTTCCTGAGCAGTTAAATCAGTGCAAAATTAGAACAAGTGCAGTTTGGGGACCATTTTAGCAAATTTAAGAAGTGACACAGCTCCATGTTGACGAGCGTGTGGAGAAGCAGGTGTTCTATAAACTGCTGGTGGAACTGGATAGAAGGCAGCTGACAGTATATGTCACAGGCTTCAACATGCATGCTTGCTTTCACCCAGCTATTTTAGTTACAGGAACTATTCTTTAGAAATCATCATGAACTTTGCCAAAAAGTATGTATATGTGGATGTTGAGGGCAGCATTGTTTATCTTAATAACTTTTATTAATTTTGAAAAGTTGGAATTAGCCAAAATGTCTAAAATAAGGCAGTGGTTAAATAAATAATGGTACATTTATTCAGAGGAATACCTTGCAACTATTAAAAGTAATGTGGTTGAAGGATATTGAAAAGAATATCAAAAATAGATATTGATCAACAAAAATATTAAGTTTCAAAATAGTATTACAGTAGCACATAATTAGAAAAGCAAAATGAATGTACTATAGACCCTGTGAAATAATTGAAAGGATTGTATCAAAAGGTTGCGAATAGTGACCTTATGCTTTCTTAA